TTGGCTCACTACTTGACTAGCCTATTGGTCCCAAGCAAATCGACTAACGTACCCCATGCTAGTATAAATTCCAGTACTACACTATGTTTGTTTTGATTCGGTATGAAAGTTTGACAGATAAAATGAGGGGTTAGTAGATTTTCGTATGTTTCGAGGGGTGAATCGATTAGCTTGGGACCGAAAAGAGTACCAGAGCTGAGCCAAAAAGTTGAGCTCGTTTCTTCGGGACCTTCTGGTCTTAGAGTTACCTCTATGGTTCAATCCCGCCCTAGAAACAACATCCTAGAAACAGTTCTGATCGACTTAAAAGTACGTGACATCGAAGACATCATTCAAACCTATCGTATCGCTGATGTCTCATACGACCACCCAATTACCACGTTTAAGGTTCAATTTACTTTGATGCATTTTCGAAAAATTCAAAAGCAGTTTTTTTCGACGCATTCTTTCAGATTGCTAAAAGCTCGCGTCATTTTGTGTAGAATAGCAAAAGGAATCGAATAGTGCGAGCATTTTGCAATCTGGACTAATGCGTCGAAAAAAACTGCTCTTGAATTTTTCGAAAAAGCATCAAAGTAAATTGAACCTTAAGCCTACAAAGTTCACGATCCTTTGCAGTAGTGAAACGGTGCAACCTTCCACAATGTAACACCAATCAAAACCAATAGCCACCAATCAAAAGCCAGTGAAACCCATCAAATGTCCCCCCACTTCATATCTGTCATACTCTGGAAATGGTGGGCGATCCAAAAAAAGCTTCGCATGTGCAGTTCAACCGTTTAACTGCAGGCAGTACCCTGTGGTTGTTGTTGTTCATCTGTACGCCCATGGGATCTTGCCGAACAACAAATTACTTATGTCGTTTTCGTTTTTGCGGTGTAGCTACACCGGTGCTACACCGCAAAAACGAAAACGACATTAGTGTCGTCATGCGGGATCTACTGACCCCACCGAAACCTCCTTTGCCGTGGATCAAAATTTCGAGTTGAGCACGGCCTTATAATTGACTGATTGGCAGAAAACCCATTGCACCTATAGTCGCTATATTCATAGTCTGGCGGATAGAATTTCGATCTATCATAAAGCGGAACCAATTCAATATATTTTAGACCAACAATTGATAAGGTACTATCAACTTTTATAAACAAAATGTTGATTATTCTTTCCTCGCCAATTACCGGCACCATCGGATAGGGGAAACTTTCTCCAACCTGAAGATGGTGTTAGTTTGCGTAGGCGAGCCTTGAGTCACGAGAAAAGTGTTTCCGAAGTTTTGTTCGCAATAGCTGATGTGCTCATTTCTGTTGTTGGTCGTGAAAAAAATGTAAAAGAAAACAAAAACACTCCGCTGCTAGCAGAATATTGTCGTCGTTCAGAGAATTTTTGTCCATTCAGTTAGCCGATCGCATTCCGCACCGTATCGTCGTATTGGACGGTCTTACAGGCATTTAATCAACCGTTGCTAGAGGAAACCCATTTTGACCGTCTTGACTGTCGTATCGACCCTTTTTACTGACCATGGTATGGAAGAACTCTGTTGGAGTGAGGCCCGAATAGAAGCTATTCTGGGCGAAACCTCGAGCCGCTGGGATTTTCGCTACGAATTGGATGAGATAAACTTTGTTGGTTCTGAAAAGAAAAGATATTCAAGTGGCAAAACGTCAACAATCGACAGCGATACCGTTTTATATTATACTAGATATTATATTATTTGTATCCTATTTCTCAACGTGTGTTCTAAAGAGCCGGATAGTGTGCCATGCTGTGTTTCGGCACAGTGTGCAGAGTTGATTACCCCTTGCCCAAACATCATTCTGTTGGTAATTGCAGCTGATCTGAAAATAACAGAGCAGCCACCGTGGGCGGTCAATCATGCTCATGCTCATCAAAACTTTCGACATAATGAAAATTTGCTCTTGACATGTTCGTCTCAGACAGCATTGTCACTGACAATTGACATGGTTTGCCTTTCTACCCAAAATTTGAGTTCTTTTTACATAATATTGAGTTCAGCCTCTCACTTGCACTCTTTATTTTTGTCAAAAAATGAACATGGAGATTCGACCCGTCGATATGGTAACTTTTGAGTAAATTACATGTTCTCAAATTTACGTGAATTAAACTTAATTTTGACTAGAATATACGTAAGAGTAACTATTTTTGCTGTTATTAAATGGAAACTATGTGCGATTTACTCAAATTTGGGTTATTGGGCTGAATCCCGGAATTGAACTTAATTCTGGATCAACAATAGAAAAGTGCTCATCAGCATTTGTAAACAAACCGTTCCAAAGCCCATTCCTCACAAATCGAAGACCGCCCACACAAAGCAACACCATCATCGTGTTGGTGGAAGTTTCCCCTATCCTATGATGGTGTTGGTTTGCGTGGGTGGCCTTCGCTTTGTGAGTAACGGGGCTTTGGAACGGTTTGTTTACAAATGCTGATGGGTCCCTTTTCTATTGCTGATCCAGAATTTTGGGTAGTTTTTCATCGTGTTGACGATGACTGCTAGCTCAAATGAGTGACCAAAGCAGAATTCTGGAGTCCTTTTTGATTTGGTCGTATGTAACATTTTTGCCAATTAGAGAGACCGAGGGGGACGACTCTATCTACGCTGCAGGAAAGATTGTGTTGTGCTGTGACTAGCTGCTCGCACAGCTGAGTAGATAAAAAGAAGATTGACGGTTCTGAAGATTTCCTGCAAAAAGATGATGCGCGATGCAAGTATTTAGATTTAGATGTGTCGCCCCCCTCGAGAGAGACGGGGTGTTTTGTTTTGGTGATCAAAAAATTGTTTTTATTTTCAATGAGATTAATAATTCTTTCAAAATTCCCATTAAAGCCAAGTATACAGATCGAAGCGAAACGAAATTTGAAGCACGCGAAAAATCATGAAATTTTGCTAGCGAAAAAGGTTTTGAAAAAATGTGTGTGGAACATTTTCAGTTTCCTTTTTTCGCAGTTTACAGTTCATGTGAAACGAAATCGATCAGTTTACACCTCCGGTGAAGTGAAAATCTGACAGATACGCTCTCCCGAAACGTCAACTTTTCGCTTAGCTGCTGCTCTTTTTGCGTGCGCTGCATGCGCGAAAAAAAAATAAACGTAAGCGAAAAAGATACGATCCACAAAATTAGATTTCGCTGGTTCGTATCTGTTTACAGTTCAAAGCGAAGCGAAATATTTGCCAATTGCGTTTTTCACGCAGGTGAAAAATGTAGTATTTTGTATGAGATTTTCGCTTCGCTTCGATCTCTATACAGGCCTTAACCAACATCTCAGGAGTGTTGCTATCAGCTGAGTAAGGTATTGATTGTGTTCCTGTTGAAAAACAAACGTTTTTTTGACCAATCAATATTATACGACCTTTTACATGCCGTACTTTTTATATTCGACCGTGCACTTTTTAGCGGTTTAAAAATGTATTATTAGGAGTAATGACTCACGAAAAGCGTAGTTACCATTTTATAGACCACCCACAACCGTTTTACATTGAATATTTACAAAATTTGGAAAAAAACAACAGGTCTTATGTAACAGTGCTTACGCTTCTGTCAAATTTGTTGCATACGACGATTGACACCCCCATAGAAGTCAGGTGTCGTATGTAACATTGAGCTATGTTTGGTCAGTTGGCACACACATAGTTTTTTGACGATAAAATGAAACAGAAATGAGGTAGCGAACCCAAATTTTGCCTCTAGGAAGAGTAAGCATAGTAGTGTCTGTTAGCATTAAAATGCCACTCAATACAGCGAAATACCTCGTACTCACTGGCTGGAAAGCGTTCGAGACTCTAGTCTAGCCATGTCTCGATTAATACAATTTTATAGTGTAGCAACGGTTCGATACAGCTAACAGGTACCCGTGAACGTTCAAAATTCATTCCGCCTATGATGTTTTGGTAGTATATGATGATATCCTGTTTTTGGCGTATATCCGTGCTAGGCGGAGTTGTTTAAACTCGGTTCTTCTGCTTTTTTGTTTTGTGCGGATTTTGGATTTTTTTGTTCTTCAAAATACTTATTAATTCCTATCGGAATTGAAACTTCTTCAAACTAGCTTAAACTTCTTCTTTTTTAGCTATATTATGATTTAGATTCTCTTGGAATTATTATCCATAGTTCGTTGCATTTTTTTTTTTTTTTTATTCTTTATTTAAGAGAAGAATAGTTCGTTGCAGCTCCCCGCAGAATTTTGTAGTTTCAGGAGTGTAGCCATATAAGTTAAGTTTGCATCGTGGTTGAATTCATTTTGAATCCCCTTGGAATGCTCCTTGAATTCCCTTCTGAATTGCTTTTGAGTTACCTTGAATACTTCTCATAATCCCCATACTCTATTCAGATCTACCTTAGAATTCATCTATAGTGGTTCGCAGTCGTTCACCTTATAATTTTCTTGAAATACTTCTCAAAATTACCTGAAATTTCTATTAATCAAATTCCATTGAAAGTCTCCCCAGAATTCCTTTATAATCATCCCTACAATTCCACTCAAAACTCATTTGGCATTCTCATCATAATTATCTATCCAATGCTTCGGAGTGTCAGAATCCTAAAATCTGAAATCTTTAAAATGCGCCAGTCTAACATCTCACAAAGATCAACGCCCATATTCCTGTTTTCTTTCGAACCGTATTTTCCATACAAAAAAACTTTTTTTTGTACGGAAAATACGGTTCGAACGAAAACAAGAATATGGGTGCAAGAATGTGAAAAAAATTACCTAGCCTCAATTTCGGACTTCATAAAATTATCTAAATTGTTGTCATTTATGAAACAAGAAATTATCAATATTCTGGAAATCAACTTTGATTCTCACTAGAGGGAGGAGAGTTTCTGCATTTAAAATAACCATTTTTCAGTAAAACCGGGAAAAATATGTTGGACCACCGGGAATTAGTTTCCCTAAATTCAGTGGCCTAGTACCTACATACAAAAATACAAATGCTCAACAGCAACGTGTCAAACGTTCTGGCAAAAGATTTCTGACTTTGATGAAAGGATTTCGGCTCTGCATAATTTAAAATCAAAATCAATAAACGCAAAATGTATTTCAAGAATATTTAGGATAATGAAGATTATTTTGCTGTCTTAATCATAAGTTTCGGTAGGAATGTTGTGGTTGCAATACGATCAAAATGATGAATCCAGTCGAGGCGAATCGGTTACTTCTTAGCCTTGCCTCGTTTTTTCTTACCGGATCGTCCAGCTGGTTTCCCAGTGGTTTTGGAGTCTCCCACGGTCGAACCAAACTGCTGATCTTCGACCAATGTTTGGTTCTGCTTCTGCTTCGTTTCTGCCTTCGATGGGTTGACGACAGTCTTTGATGGCACTTCCTGTTTGGATTTGGACTTCGGCTGTACTGTTGGCTGGTCATCACCTGTCGGCTTCCGAGCTTGCTGCATGGTGTTGAAAATTCCTCTCAGCACCTGAATCTCGCGGTCCTTTTCCTTGATGATCAGTTCCAAGTCGGTGAACTTTTGCAGCAGACCTTCCACGGATTTAGAGTTTACTACAGTTTTGTCGTTGTTTTTCATCATCATTTCCAAATCGGCAAGCTTCTGCATCAAAACATCAACGGATTTGACCTTTGCTTCCTCGTATGCCTTCTTGGCAGCGTCGTAGGAAATGTTTCTATCAATCTTAATCCTGGCGATTGTGTTTTCGACGACGTATTTCGGACACTTCCGGCTTGAGATAGGGTGTTCGTCAGACTCGCACTTCTTGCAGTAGGGTTTGGTCGGACAGATCTTCCCTATCACCGTGTCATGAGGGCCGGAGCATGTACCGCACATTGGGTCGCAGGAACAATTTGGCTTTATATGCCAGAATTGCCAGCATTTGTAGCACTGGATGAGCTCTGGGTAGTAAGGACTGGTTTTAACTCGCAAATAAGCGAAAAATACATATTCTGGAGCAGTTTGTCCGGAGCAGGACAGAACGATACTCGGTGTTTCCTCCTGTAAGCCATCTTCGGATTTTCTGGTTATTTTCCGAACGCCGATAACACCTTGGGCAGCCACTTCTTCCAAAAGAACCTCCTCCGTTAGATCCATCAGCTCACGGCACTTTACTACGCAACGGGTCACATTATTGTCCAGATGTTCCGTAACTATGACTGGGGTGCCATCGGTTAGTTTGTCCATCTGCAGCAATGCTTTGACCTGCTCGGGGTTGCTCACCTTTAAAGTATAGCGAGCTCCCCCGTTGTCGGGAAAACCACCCTCAATTTTCCCCGCAATTTGCTCGACTGATTTACGGATCAGAAAGGGGTTCTTTGGCAGCGATACGTTTTCAGCATGTTCCAACCTTAGCACCACCAGCTTTGTTTTGCCAGGAATGTTGTTGTTGCTGCCATTTTTTCCGGGAACTTCAACCGACGCCATTGTTCACTAAATAGATTTTCGGAACGAAATAGAACGATTAACTGTGCTGCAATTGCCGATTTCGTGAGGCTAATTAATTATAAATTACTAACCAATGAACGCCGAAGCAGGAGGCGGAATAGGTTCCGGCTAGTGGTTTGTATTCACTACACGTGGAACAAGATTGGTTTTATAATCGTCGAGGCGCCGTTTTTTGCATATAAACACTGAATTACGCTTCCGAATATCTTCAGGGTGGTTGGACGGATTCACTACGAACACGTCTTCTGGAACAGTAAACGCCGGAAAGAAATCCGGTCAAGCCAAGAACGTTTGTTTACACTGTCTAAAGAAACCAGAAAAGCGACCTGCACGGTATCTCACAACAACTCAAAATTGTGCCGAACATGCTCATTTATCTTTTGAGTAAACGGTGTTCTCGCGCAGACTGCGTTAATCCCACCCTGCAATATTTTCAGCTGTTTAATTTTTTGTTTTTGTTTGTTTTTAAACAAAAAATTAAATTTCGTACTCCGGATTCCTAGAAAATCGTTTCTGGAAGCTATTCATATATATTTGAATTCATTTCCACCCCTTTTTGTGCTGTAATTCCGCCGTACCGACACGGGTCGCATTTTGCTTACTGCATGGCTTTTACTCAGTTTGAAATTTCTCGTTTACTCACTTTTTGACAATCCTTATAAAAAAATTACCATAAACGTATGATAACCCAAAAGAATGAACTATTCCACAAATGGTTTGGATGATACCCAGAACACGTCGTTAAGCAAATTAACCATAGCATTTTTAAACTCGATACATCAGACGAAAGTGAGTATGATAGACTCATCTTGTGAGTAAGCTGAAGTAAGCGTGTGTATTGGCAGCGACGCCGGGCGTGTCGTCTACAATGCTGCAATAAATTTTTATAAGTTCGATGATTTCAGTGCCAACATTTCAAAGGGGCGTAATTGCTTTTGTAAACAATGACTTTAACCGTCAATTTCTCGCGAATGAAATCTTACCTCTCCAAAATAACAATGCTAGCTGGTAGAGGAAACATTCCTCTACCTGCTGGTGTCATTATTTTTCATGAGTGAGCTTTTATTCGCGAAAAATCGACGGCTAAAGCCATTGTTTACAAATGCAATTACGCCCCTTTGAAATGTTGGCACTGATTTTTCATTTATCAGGATCACATAAAATATTCACGGCGAATGAGAACGACTCAAATTTGAGTTTAGTTCACTCATAATCGCCAAAAGTGCAGGAACTCAGCGATGAGTTAATTTGCCTCATGTTTTCCCAGGTTTTTCCAGGATTTTCCAGGGAAAAATTCCCGAATTTGAGAAAAGTAAAGATTGGATTCACTCAGTCTATTGGTACTACTCCGAGACAGAATAAAATTTTCGTCAATTTCCTCATTTTCCGGCAGATTTTTTAGGTTTTCCACAGAAAACCATGGGACAAATTTTACTCATCGCTGAGTTCCTGCACTTTTGGCGATTATGAGTGAACTAAACTCAAATTTGAGTCGTTCTCATTCGCCGTGTAAATTAGGGCTACAAATTTTCCAGTTTACCACATTTTTTTCAAGTTTACTTATATAGAATCGATAAAAAAAAGTCGAAAGATGGTCAAAAGGCAAAGAATGTGGAACGGAAAGATGGTCAATAGGGACTAAAGGACTAAAGATCGAATGGACAAAAATCCAAAACCTTTAGTTAGAATGTACGTCTTCCTATGAATGAAATATTGAATAGAAGTAGCTCGAGCTCGTATTACTTCATTCAAAATTAATGTTCTGACAAGTCATCTAAAAACCAAATGTTAAAGAACGAATAGAGGTCAAAGAAGGGAAACAGTATAAAATTCCATTTAATTGTTGAAAATAGATTAATAGTATAAAAAATCAGTTTCAGAATATATAAGGTAAATGACGGCTTCGGCAATACATTATTCTATTATAATAAAAACAAAAATCCCCATACCTACATCTGCTTTTGGCTACATCCTTTCGACATTTTGTTCAAATTGTTTTCCCTTTAGACCTTTTGTCTTTCGACTTTTTATCTGTCGACCTTTTCTAATTTCATCCTTTTATCTGTCGATATTTTGTTCTAATGACCGTTTGTCCATTCATCCTTTTGTTCATTAGTGCCAGCCCATTAGTACTGTGTATTATATAGAGAGCCCAAACGTGGTAATAATAGCATATTAAAAGTAATGTTGGTGAACTCTCGAAAAAATAAACATATTACAATGTTATAACTATGTAATCTGAACAAGACACAAGATAATATTAGCCAAACCAGGATAAAGTTTGTGAATGACATTGTTGAACATGCTACATATTCTATGACGTATTAACTAACCTTCACGGCTAAACTGCCGGTATCATCAGCATGACTTGCACACTTTGCTAGATAGTTGCATATATGACTAACGTTCCATTACCGAACCATTCAATATGAGTTAGCCATGAAATGTCTCCCCCTTTCCAGCGTTGAATAATTAATATCCTACACACCTGCTGAAACGAACGATAAATAACTTATATCCTGACCCTTCTATTTTGTTCTCCCAACAGGAAGGCGACAAAGTCCCATCGATCGATCTGTTCGAGGATTCCCCGGCCAACAAGGTCAACATTGCCGATCTGTGCGCCGGAAAGAAGGTGGTTCTGTTTGCCGTTCCCGGAGCCTTCACACCCGGCTGCTCCAAGACTCATCTGCCAGGCTACGTCGACAGGGCCGATGCCATTAAATCGTCCGGAGTAAACGAAATAGTGTGCATCTCGGTAAACGACCCGTTCGTTATGTCCGCCTGGGGCAAGCAGCACAGCACTGCCGGCAAGGTACGTATGCTAGCCGACCCGGCTGCCGTTTTCACCAAACAGCTGGAACTGGGCGCTGATTTACCACCACTGGGTGGGCTACGTTCCAAGCGCTATTCGATGGTGCTGGAAGATGGCGTCATCAAGACACTGAATGTTGAACCCGATGGTACCGGTCTGTCTTGCTCGTTGGCAGACAAGATCAAGGTCTAAAGCCTCCTGGACGGATCACATACAAAGGATAAAATTTATCGCCAAAAAGCGTCGTTTGAATGTGTCATACCAATGCACCGTGTTAGAGCACAATCCAATTGAAGAAACAATATCTGCATGTGATCCAGAACACTGCTGCACCAATAAAAATCGTTAAATCTCCCGTCTTTAATAAGACACACCCCAATACAATATATCTAAGCGGATCAATTACTAAGAACTAAATTTATCGTTAAAATAAAACTATTGGAGAAATACTTTAAAATGTATGCTTAAACAGGAGTATGAAAATATCCTGTATTCAAATTCGATACCTACTGAGGACATACGGAAGCTTTTGCTTGGAACAGTTTCTTCTTGTTATTCAAAGAACGTCTCATCACAAAAACAAAAACGATTTTGATATCGAAAATTCGTGGTCGGGCGTTTGCAAAAAATTAAATCCAATAAGTGTTACTTTTGTAGGTCCCCTTGAAGAAAATAAACCTGATTACTACAGTTACAAGGCAGTCACATTCATTGGAAAGAAATCATCCGTTTTCATACTCAGTGAACTTGAACACACTTAGGTACAAGTCTCTATATTTAGTTAAGAATGAATTTACAAAAAAAATAAGGCTAACGTTCTAATATCCTAGGCAAGCTCACGATTACGTTTTGTGTTCCATCGCATTCGCTTCTGTCTCTCGTTGATGCAGTTCTTGCTTTAGCTGTTTGGTCAGCTCAATCTGCTGCTGAAGGTTGTAGGTGTTTTCGATCTTCCGTTGCTGCTGACGCTGGATGTCCCGTATCACTCCCTCGTGTAACTTGGCTCTGCAAAATGAAAGGCAGTTTATGCAATATGTTTTCGAAATGATAGATACTACACAATCAGGTAACATGCCTGTCGGAGGTCTGCTTGTAATGAACGTATCCAATTATTCCGCCGGTACCAATGCAAGCTCCCAGTAGGAAGACCTTGGAAGTTACGGACATCGTTTGTTATGCAAAAACCGGATAAGGTCTTCTAGAATTCGAGGTGTTCGACAATTTTATAATTTTTTTTTTTCTGGTATCAGTAAAAAACTTATCAGCTGTCAATATGATCAAAACAAAACAGCGTAAAAACATCGAAACAGGGTCTCATGCTGTTGGTCGATTCATTCTACTTGCACACAAGTCAATACGGGTACGGCATATTGAGTCGAAAAGAATTTTCTCTACACTGAGGAAACTAGAATTACGATTTTCATAATATGTTTCGTATGAACAAGCATTTTGAGCTCTGCAAATAGTTTCAAACGACACGTATGTTATTCATAGCATGCGTATGAAAATTACATGACTTAAAAATGATTCCTATACGAAATGAGTCTAAATTTCATACGAGGCTGCAATGAACTTTATGAGTTGATCTTGTGTGAAAAAAAAAATCATACGTCGTTCGTATGAAACGCTGTTGAAAACAAAACAATATGACGTACGAGCCGAAATTACTAGCGTATGTTAAAGTTGGGCTGTATTGAGATATAAAAACGCTGAATTGAAGAGTTTATGGCTTTAATAATAACCATTATCGCGTACTGGTAGATCCAGGAGAGCGATTTGATTTGGACGTGAATTGCATAATGGCTAGAACAAAACGTAAGAAGGTAATGTAAAGATTATTTCAAATATTTACTATCAATTTGTCCACAGAATCTGGCTAATATCAAAATACCGCGATTACTGCAATCCTGTTGCGACAAGGGATGTAACAGAGTTAAAGTTGGAACCAGTGGCGTCAATAGCCAGGCAGATTGTAATAGCCCGGCACTTTAAATTTTAAAGTTAATTTTAGAGTGATGTCCTTTATAATACAAAAACTCAAATGCAACGCTTCATCGTTTAATTTTTCTTTGTTTATAAAATAAATATGAATTTATGATTACATGTAGGTATATAATTAATGTGCAAGAAAAAAAAAACTACAAATAGCTACAATGAATTTCATAGTTGATTCGATTGCTTTTCGTATTCCTCTCGTTTCTAATTCATACGAATGAAACGTAAATTTCATACTCATAACGTATCATTTTCATACGACACATTTATGAAATCCATATGTGTCTACTGCAAAAAACATAAATGATAACGTTCATATTTCTATCGTATGAAATTCAAAATAAATTCATAAATAAATTCTGATGATGGTACAGCACGCAACAACCACCCTACTGCTTTCTCTCTGAGATGATCACGTTGGTCATGACGAGAGGAGCAACACAATAGTTGGGTAAATAAGAACTGCATTATAACACACCATCGACTGGAAATGCTCTCGCAAACGTGGGGCTTTAGGTAGTGATGAAAACGTCGCTAGAACTATTCCACAGCCGCAGTCAGTTTATGAGCAACAAGAGGGACGCACATTTTTGCCTGTGGACTTGGAGACATACTTCAAGTCCCCGCGTACATCGTACGGGCTAGGCAAAAATGTGCGTCTATCTTGTAAACTGTCGCTTTAATGGCCCTTCGCTCATTTTCAACTTCTATTCAATTTTCATACTGCCGTACTCTAACGGAACTATCCACCTACCCTCTTCTAAAGATCATTCTCTAGCTAATAAATCATCACACTAAAGCTTCATGTTAGCATTTTCAACCAACTCTGAAAATCGTTAACTTCGCGTATGAAGTAACATAAAAAACACTTTGAATGTAACAACTCAAGGCGGGAGTAGCCGTCAACAATGCTGATGATGGTACAGCACGCAACAACCACCCTACTGCTTTCTCTCTGAGATGATCACGTTGGTCATGACGAGAGGAGCAACACAATAGTTGGGTAAAGAAGAACTGCATTATAACACACCATCGACTGGAAATGCTCTCGCAAACGTGGGGCTTTAGGTAGTGATGAAAACGTCGCTAGAACTATTCCACAGCCGCAGTCAGTTTATGAGCAACAAGAGGGACGCACATTTTTGCCTGTGGACTTGGAGACATACTTCAAGTCCCCGCGTACATCGTACGGGCTAGGCAAAAATGTGCGTCTATCTTGTAAACTGTCGCTTTAATGGCCCTTCGCTCATGTTCAACTTCTATTCAATTTTCATACTGCCGTACTCTAACGGAACTATCCACCTACCCTCTTCTAAAGATCATTCTCTAGCTAATAAATCATCACACTAAAGCTTCATGTTAGCATTTTCAACCAACTCTGAAATTCATTTGGTTAAATTCCATAAACATTTCGTATGCAATTCCAACGAATTATTTCCTCAGTGTAGAAATTTATACACTCAAAGATAAATTAAATCAACAAAGCTTAAAAGCATGCAGATTCCCGCTTCACCTTATTGAGTCCGAGCCTCGGTCCGAGCCATGATTACTTCGACAGTAGTCATGCATGATTAATTTCGAAATAATCTTTCCAGTATTGCTCGTTTCACACCAAATTGAACTAATAAGTGCGTTTTCACTTATTAAAAAGTGTGATAAAACAGCAAGTTTACGTCTAATCGTTTTGGTGTCTTCGGTGCACTTATTCCTTATGATGCAAGCAATAAGTGCTCCGAAGACATCAAAACGATTTGACGGAAACGTGAACTTTTATCACACTTTTTGCATTTTTGGGACACTCCAGTTTCAGATGCAATCATCAATATTAAATATTATTCTTTTCCAATCCTGAATCAAAACAGATTAAAATTCAAAATTTTAATATAGGATCAAAAATGATTAACATTTATTAGAAAAAAAAGAGATTATCTTCAATCTAATCAACCATGATTAAACTGGGATTAATATCAGGTGCTTTGTTTTTTGAAAGAGAGTATTAATTTTTAATCTTTCAATATGATTAAACTGATGATATGATGATTTAATGTCAAATTGATTAAATTTCAAGCAAAATGGGAATAGTTTAATTTATCAGAGTATGCACGTTAGAATTTATTCTTTGAGGGGTTCCTACCAAGCTTGTAGGTGATTGGTAATCAAAAATTACCACAAATTAATAAAATAATTAGTGAATTTTGAATTACTCAGTAATTTCAATGTAATAAAAATAATTGTTGATAATGTATGGGTGATTTCAGTAATTCCTACTGCTTGGAAAATAATTTGATAATTTTAAAGATAAAAAACACGAGAAAAAACCATAATTTGAGTAATTCCATAAATTTTTGTACTCTGGAATTATCATATCCTTTATGATTATATGTTAATTTAATGATTTTAGTTGTCCTCAGGTATACTTTATTATTAAAGTAGTTAAAAACATTGTTAAAATTACCAGAGTAAATTTGGCCCGAGTCCTATAGGGACACAACTATCAAAGCGAGACAAAAACTATACAGTTTGACAGTTTTGTACCCAGTATTATTCAATATCGGGACAAAGGGAACACCAGCGCTATTCTTCCTCTATAGTATATTAGCTCTATTATGAGCTCCGATCCACGAGATGTTTTGTTTGCAAAAGCTTATAAGGTCTTTTCAATCTTTAACCTTCAATTCATTTTACTCATCCTACTGATTGACTGTCATTCGGTCATGAAGGTCACTGGTTTCCGCAAGCCGTCGACAAAATTTTAGGTAAAAAATAAAGTAAATATTTGAAAACGCACTTTACACATAATATTAGTAAAATGTTACGTTATTAAATTTATTAAATTTTATCGGCAAATTTTACCTATTCCAATTCCTCGCTATATGCTGGGTATTAGTATAGAGGTAACTCTAAGACTAGTAGGTCCCGAAGAAACGTGCTCAACTTTTTTGGCTCAGCTCTGGTACTATCTTCGGTCCCAAGCGAGGGGGGCGACACATATAAATCTCAATTCTAGAAGCTCAAAAAATCTCACACTAGCTATAATAAATCTACGAAAAATCTTCTTTCATTTCTCGTATCTACTTGCATCGTGCACCATCTTTTTGCAGGAAAGCTTCAAAATCGTGATAAAGGGTGTCCACTATGAAATTGCCACACACAAAATTGATTCGCAAAATTCGAGTTTTCATCCGATTGCCATCAAATTTTCAGGGATTGAGAAATAACTATTAAACTTCATTTTACCATTTTACTCGTATTTTATTTACAGTCCATACGCAAATGCCCGCACCTTGGCCTTAACCCCGGCCATAAGATTCTGCACAACCTGTGAATCAACCGTTTTTTGCATGTAAACCCATACTTTCTTCAGTTCCTCGACTGTCTTCACTACCTTAGGTCGTTTAAGAAGGTGCTGCTTCATAATCGCCCAGTACTTCTCGATGGGGCGGAGCTCCGGAGTGTTGGGAGGGTTGAACATTTTCGGCACGAAATTGACCTTATTGTCCGCATACCACTTCAGCACGTCCTTGGAGTAGTGGCATGAGGCCAAATCCGGCCAGAAGATTGTTGGGACGTTGTGGGCCTTCATGAGAGGAAGCAGCCGCTTCTGGAAGCACTCTTTTATGTACACCTGTCCGTTCATCGTGTCCTGGGTCACGAAAGGTGCACTCCGCTTCCCGCACGTGCAGATGGCTTGCCAAACCAGGAATTTCTTCGCAAATTTGGACATCTTCTGAGTGCGGATATGCTCCGGAACGCTGAACTTATCCTTGGCCGTGAAAAACAGGTTGCCGGGGATCTGTTTGAAGTCGGCCTTCACATATGTTTCGTCGTCCATGATGCAGCATTCAACTTTCGTCAGCATGTTGAGGTACAACTTCCTGGCACGGGTTTTGGCGGACTTGTTCTGCTTCTCGTCGCGATTAGGGGCCTTTTGTACCTTGAACGTTCGAAGCCCAGCCTTAGATTTGGCCTTCTGGACAAAACTTCGGCTTAGGTGCAGCTTCTTAGCCACATCCCTAACGGAGGCGTTCGGATTTCGGTTGAAGGCCCCAACTACGCGGTTGTGATTTTTGGTGTTGTACGGAATACTTTTTCCTTCACTTCTGGGCTTCCGATCGGTGGTCAACCGTTCCTCGAACCGCTTAATCACTCGCGACACCGTGGAATTCGCGATTCCCAACGTTTTAACGATGGAACGATGCGAGAGATCCTTGTTCTCGTGATGAATGCGCAAGATTTTATCACGCACGAGCTGTTCTTTCGACTCCATTTCCGCGAGTTTTGATCACAGGACTTTAAAACTTGCAGGATGTAAATAATGCACTATGAACTAAATCCACCCAAATTTTCATTAAATTCTACCCAACGGTTAAAAAGTTAGAGCAATTTCATAGTGTGGCAATTTCATCGTGGACACCCTTTAAATCTTCTTTCTATCCACACTTTCTACGCGAAGCTAGCCACAGCAAAACACAATATTTCCTGCATCGTAGATAGAGTCGTCCCCTTCGGTCCCAAGCTAATCGATTCACCCCTCGAAACATACACACAGAAAAATTTACCGTCGAAACAAACATATTTGAGGTAAATTTAAACGTTCTGGCCACAAACATAAACTAGGTTGATTTCAAACGTATTCCATGTTTGAAGCCATTGTTAATAATGTCTAAAACAAAAATATTGTTACGTTTATTTCCAAAATATTCATTTTAAAAATAAACTTGAATATTTTTGGTTGATTTGACAACTATATGTGATCAAAAATAAATATGTTTATTTTAAAAATGCTTTTCATGTTTAAAATAAAAAAAAAATCAAATTAATAAATGAAAATCGGCAGACAGAGCATCTATATTCTTGCTATTTTTCGGTGCGATTAAGGGTGGTCTATGGGTGTTGGGATCCAGGTCCAAGATCCGGGGGGCCATCGGAGTGGGTGTCCGGAGGTTCCAAGTACAATAAAATCGGTGAAACTTTGTGATATTAGCGTCGTTTTGTCGTTTCTGACGCTGGTCCTCTTACCGGCCTCTTTCTACGTTTGGTGTTGGGGGATTATCTGTTTTTCTTTCGATGTCGCGTTTGGGTGAGGATGATATGGGGATCGGCAGCAGAAACGCCAGAGTGACGTTGATATTGTGGGGTTCCACCGGTTTTATCGAGCTTGGAACACTTACTTGCGTGGATATCCGGAACATCTACACGCTAACTTCTGCTTACTCACCAGGTGAGTCGATCGTACTCACTTTCGTCCGAGTTGTCAAAAATTGAGTAAACGAGAAATGTCAAACTGAGTAAAAGCCACTATGTCAGCAAAATTCTGGAGTTGGAAAAAATGCCAGTCATGTCGGAGGAAACCTCATAGGAAATGTTACTTAAAACCGACTGAAATGCCTTCAGGTAAGTACGAATTGCTTAGGGTAACGGTGTTGAACCAGTTTCTGCTCCGTTAGAATGAATCCGGAGCAGGCAATTTCCATGTCCTTGAAAAAAAATCAAAACAAAAACCCTTCCCGCAACTGAAAATTCCGCCGAGTGGATTTTACTCAGTCTACGTGAGAACGTCGTTTACTCAAAAGTGAGTCAACATAAGGCTACTCAATTTTGAGTAGCCCTACTTGCCGCTGAGATGAGTACATTCGACTCAATTTTGAGTTAACCAGAATGAGCGTGTATACTTCGGTTTCGCCGCTTGCAACCAGTTTTCGGTTGAGTTTTCCGAATGTAAACAACAAGGAAAAAGGACACGCTGAAAATTGTTTACCCAGAATATGTATTGTTGAAATAAACATGTTTTTGAATTTAAATCAAACGTGTTTTCAATTTACTTTGAACTATTTATATTTTTATATAATGAACATATATTTGTTTGATTTAAATGAACAAAATTTGGTTCCGTGAATAATAAGTTGTTAAGAACCATTACCATTCCAAATAATTTGAAATTATTCTTGTTTTCTCCATACATTTTCGGAAAGAAAACACAGCAAAAAAAATGTAATTTCGATCATTACGTTGATCGCTGATGTATGAAATCAAGAGCAAATTTTCATTATGTCGTAAGTAACATTCGCACCAATCCGAGAAAAATAAAGTTTTGTTTTGATGACCGAAAAGTTATTTCTATTTCCAAGTAAACACATATAATCTCATAGTGATAGCAATGTTTAACATATTTAGCAGGGTTTTAATCATACAAATGCAAATCGCTAGCTTTCATGCTAAAAAATACTGGTTTTTGAGTCAAAAGTTATTATACGTCGTTTGGAGGCCCCTATTGTTACTTAAGTCAAAGTGTATTTACCAGGATATTCGGGAGAATTATCAATTACATCTCCTTACGTGCAGCCCATTCATCATTTTAGGACTACCGAAATCATCTTAGCAACAAACAGTTCGATTTATTCACTTTAATAATGAGAAAGCGAAACGACGAACGTACACTTTTCACGGGTTTCTCAGCGCTGTTACTTAAGTCAAGCGGCATCTCCATAGAAATTGGGTGACTTAAGTAACATCGAAAACTATTTTGATCGGAAGGTGATTACGTCAAAAAGCAATTTGACTGGCAAATAAATTTAAAAATAGGATTTGATCCTATATTCGGACAGTATATAGTGTAATAGCAGGAGAATCGATTGACACTGATAGCTCGACTTTGTTTACCTTTGTTACATTCGACGTAATGAAAATTTGCTCTTGAAATAATGATGTAATCTCGGATGTAATAGCAAAACGCAGATGCACTCCCTAATAAAAAATAACCATAAACGAACGATAACCCAAATCATTGAACTATTCCAAAAATGGTTTGGATGATACCCAGAACACGTCGTTAAGCAAATTAACCATACAATTTTTATTAGGGCTCGTTTATTGCGTTTGAGCCTTTATTTTTTACTCGGGATCACTTTTAAAAAGATATCGGAATGCAATTTTTCCGTGCCAAAGACCAAAACATCGAATAACATCGCGGCTGATCGATTTTGTTTTGGCTCTCCACTTTGGTGCGCTGGCAGAAATTTGCACGGATTTATTTGATCCACTTTTTTCACGAAAATTTTCCGGAAAAATCGTAAAATTCAGTAGAAATTGCTGCTTGTGAGCAACGCCACTATGGCCAACTTAACGAATTTACTCAATATAAATGTGGACAAACTGTTCGAGCAGCAGAGCATCGCCGAAATCGATCAGGTTCACAAGCGGCTCCAAGCGGAAGTCGAACTGAAACGGGAGGAGCTTCGAACGATGGTTGGGTAAGAAGATTGTTTGTTTTGTAATGTTGCATGATTCTGTATTCGTTGGTTTTGTTTTTCAGTGAACGCTATCGTGATCTGCTAAAAGCAGCCGACACCATCGGGGACATGAGGACGACGGCCAGTTCTATCATTCAGAACGTTGAGAATATTACTTCCGCTTGCCGGAAGCTTAACGATCATCAGCTAATCGGATTCCGTTCGGGAAGTGATCAGCAACGAGTGCTTCGAAAGAACACCAACAACAAGTTTCATGGTGTTATCGTACAGATTAAACTGCTGACCAGTCTGCCGGAGATGATATGGAGCGCCATCGACGATGAGGATTACTTTGTAGCAACGCAGTTGTTTATCTTCTCGAGACACATTTCCACCGGTTTGCAGCTAGATTCAAATAGTGAAATGATGGCCAAGTTTCCGGTGGCCAAGAAGCAGTGGGCCGTCTTGAGTCAGTTCTTCTTCACCATCAAACAGAATTGCGCCTCCTGTTTGGAGCGGGAAGATTTGACACCCGAAGTGGCTGCCAAATGCTTGGCCAGTTTACTGCTGCTTGAAAATTGTCAACTAGATCATATTCTGTCTTTGTTTGTGCAAATGCGTCTCAAGGCATATGCGGGCGTGCTGTCGGAAAATTCACGACACGGAAAGGTGAAGGATAAGATTCTGGCTAGTTTGAAGCTGCTGATGAATACGGTAAATTTGATGAATGAATGTTTCATCGGTTCCGAGCAAGAACATGGTTTATTGATAAAGGAACTTATGCTGGTCACGGATGAAATTGCGCTACCGACCATACATTTGATCAAATCTGAAGATCCTAAAATTATTCAAACATTACCTGATATAATCTGCAAATTCAGGCCACGAATCGTCTTGCAGTCGTTGAGTCCTGAATTGGTACGAAAAAGTTCTCAACTTTGGCTGAAAAATGTCGAGAAGATTGCAATCAGCCAGCTGAGCAATTTGATGGACCTAGTAACGACGATAAAAGTTCTTCATGACATAAAGAAACTTTCGCTGGAAGCAGCTTGCAAACCTGGCGAGTGGTCGATAATTTGTAAAAAGTTGTCATTTCCTGAGTCTTTAGATTTCTACGTTCTATTCTACCAACCATTGATTAACTCTCGCATCAAGGCAATCATCAAAAAGTGCTGGTCCGAAATGGTTACAAGCAGCAGTTGCGACATTCTCAACTTGCTTTCTTCTGTGGCCGTCGACAAATCATTGAGAGATGTGAAATCTTTCGTTTGGTCCGAATCCTCGGAGGATATTCCCCTGAACTTGAAAGCTGCATTAGATCGTTCAAATCTGGCGACTCACTATCTGTTGATGAAATCGAAAGCCTTTCCACCAGTTTTGGTAAATCTTGCATCATCACTCGATGAACGAATCCAGTCGCTAACGAAGGACGTAGCGTCTTTCCTGGAAACATCAGCGACGAATGAAACGAGTCAACTCATCGAGTTTTACAGCGATTGCAGCGTGGAAAACATAAATGAGCTGCTAACAGCCATCAAGACCAGGGACTATAAGCAATCGCCGGAAAAATTCATTCTGTTGGCTCGTCTTCTAATTGCTTACAGAGAACTATGCCCTTCGCTGAAGCAATGCCTCACGCCGTCCTTGATGACTCAAGCCGAAGTCACGGTTCCCTGGCAAAGCGAGGACAAACTTACCGATGGCGAACGGTGGAGCAACGTTTCCGGTTTGCTGGAAGAGGAAAGTTTGAGATTCTGGAAGCTGTGGTTGGAGCAATTCGTTACAAAATGGCCCCAGCTGGAAAGGCAAATCAGTTACCAGACACTGCTGACGGAATTTCCGGTATGTGACATTTACCTGCGGTATTTTTTTCTCGTTTATCTATTGCAAATTTCTATCACACAGCTCTGGGACACAGTCACCATCGAGGAAAACGACGAGCAAAACCAACCGGTGCAATCGACCATACACGTACCTGCCCTACCGAGTTTCCCCCTGCAAAAGCTTCTGCATGTCATTGCCACTCTTCTAAACGCGTTAGTTCCACAAACGATCCCAAAAACCATCATAGTTCAGGTGGTCGAACGAATTATTTCCTACTTGCACGACCATTATCAGTTCCTATCGCAGAATGAATTCGTTCGGAAAAACCAAAACAGTGCCTTGCAGTATTATTTCGATCTTAAATTTGTCCAACTGCTCTTCTCCGGACGCGAACGCAAGCAACTGGCGGATCCCTACAATGATCTGATTAACGAATTCAAAACCTACATCGATCCGTTCGATTTCGATGTGTTCTACCCGCACGTTAACACCAATGTGAAGCGTGCCGTCCAGCGGATGCATCATTTCTTCGGTATTCTGGTGGCGAATGGTGATCAGCTGAATTCAATCCTCGGAACCGCTGGCAGTGGAGCAGCCGTTCCGATCAAACTAGCAGGACAGGATAAGAATCCCAACATACTGGCACTTAGTTCGAACAGTGCCAGCGAAACGTGGTTCCCGCTGTTGCCCATCGTTACCAAGGATTCACTGACCGCCAGTGCTGGAGCTGCGCCACTGGAGCCAGTCAAAGCGACGAAGCCTGCTGAAGAGATGAAGGTGAGTTGATGATTACATTTCTGCTTTTATGAGGAAATCAACCTTTGATTTGAATTTGATTTGCATTTCACAGGATAAGTTTCGAATATCGTAATAGTAAGACTTGGGAATTGCGCGTGTGTGTGTAGTGTGTATTTGTTTGGTAACTAATTGTGGTTTTCATTCCTGTCGCAAATATCTTGCTAATGTACGGTTTTTGCGGTCACCTCTCGATATTTTATGATATTCTTAACGTGTTTGATTGAGAATTATTGTTATGTTGCTTTGCTGCTTCTAACCCCATACCTACACACTAAGATTATTTTACAGATTTCTGTAAAATTTTACCGAAATCTCAACAGCTGAACGTTCGGTAATCAATTTTACAGTTTTCCTGTAATTATTTACATATATCTGTGAAAAATTCACAGATATTTGTGAAAAATTACAGGAAAACTGTAAAATTGTTAACCGAACGTTCAGCTGTTGAGATTTCGGTAAAATTTTACAGAAATCTGTAAAACATTCTAAGTGTGTATGCTAAATAGTTTACTTCAAAATACTGTTGTTTTATACACATAACAATACCAACAAGTTTTCACGATTCTGGAACTGGGAGAAATATTTGAGATTCAGGATTTTAGAAGTTCTGTATTCTGGTACTTTGATGAATTTTTGAGATCTTATAAATTTCTGGGAAATATTATCAATTTTCTAGAATTTTGAGGATTTTCTATACCCATTGAATTCATAAAAATATTTGGGTTGTCCGATTTTGACATTTTTAAAGATTCTGAAATCGATTTCTCATAGTTGAAGATGATAATTTCAAATAACAGACTAAAGTGGTAATTTGTATACGATAGATGAGGAGATGAAAGTATAGAATTGATAGTTCCGTTTAGAGTACGGCAGTGTGAAAATTGTATATAGAGAGTAGAAAGCGAGCAAGGACAACTTTTAAGGAAGGTACAAATCGGTTTGATCATCTCTCTTTACCAAACTCCCCCGTTGGAGAGGGATGGTGAGCCACCACTTCTTTTTCTTCTTATTTTTGTTCATCTTCTTCTTTTTCGCATTTCAAGCTTATTGCTTGTCGAATATTGGCCTATTGCGTGCTCTCAACTTGGTGTTCTATATGCACTTGCACAGTTATTAATTGAGAGCTTTCGATGCCTGTACCATTTTTGCATTAGTATTATCATACAGTTAACTCTAAGACCAGAAGGTCCTGAAGAAAGGTGCTCAACTTTTTAGCTCAGCTCTAGTACTCTCTTCGGTCCCAAGCTAATCGATGCACCCCTCGAAACATGGGAAAATCCACGAACCCCTCATTTTATCTGCCAAACTTTCATAGCGAATCAAAAAAAACATTGCGTAGTACTAGAATTTCGACTAGAATGGAATACGTTAATCGATTTGATTGGGACCAATAGGCTAGTCAAGTAGTGATCCAATTTAAAATCGTTAGTTTCCACCGGTTGTTATTATTGTGTGGCAAGTAAAATCATACCCTATGCCCAGGGAAGTCGAGAAATTTTCAAAACCGAAAAATTCCTAGACCGGACCGGGAATCGAGCCCAGTCACCTCCAGCATGGTCTTGCTTTGTAGCTACGCCTTTACCGACAGAGCTATGGAAGGCTCCAAAAATTATGGATCATGCAATCATGGATCGATTCTAGTGCCGTAAATAAAATCGATCCGTCAAGATCGATATTTCCCTGAAGATCGCCCATTCCTACTATCATGCGTCGGGCTCGTGACCATGTTACAGTCGCTAAAAAATCAATGGAAACGCATGGTAGTCTAGTCACGTCTAGTCGCATATAGGGTGTCCCCGAAAGTATAAGTACACTTTCAACTCGCCGCCATTTCTATCCCGATGAAGTTTGTCACCTGATCATCGATGTGTGTTGTTGTTTACTTATTGCTCAACAAGTTTGTAAACGCAACGTGCATTTTTTTTACAAAATCATCAAAATGCGAGGCATTTCCCCGGAAAAGCGCAAACAGATCGCGCGTCGGTGCATTATTCCCAACCTATCAGTAAAGAATTTGGCGAAAATGGAAGAAGTAAGTATCGGAGCAGTCCAGCAGGACACATCGAAATGTGGCCGTAAACCGGGACCGGTGGTCCGCAAGCTGGACCAGAAGATCACCAAGCTTTCGTCAATAAGAAAACCGTCTCTGTTCGAGATTTCCCGTGGAATTCCCGCAGGTTCTGATACTGAGGGCATACGCATAGAATGTGCTCGATTGAGGCTGGAGTTCTACAACTGACGCAAGTCCTGTGGAACGGCGTTCCACCGAAATTGTGCGAGATCTTGGTGTGACCGGTCCTCAAACGCGACCGCGACGCGACGCTATCTTCTGATCCCGCTGGTTCAACTGTTCTGTTAATTATCTCGGCCCCATTATGAAGAGGGAGCGGTTTTGGGCCCACTCTGCATCCCAAGCTTCCCGTACTTTGCTCACGATCCAGCGCTTGACATCGTGTAACGGTACGTCGTTGGTAAAGCGAGGGGCAGATGGTCCTGCCCCAGCCAGAAAGTCAGCTTCAGCAGAATACCGTGTTTGGTGGCGCGGACTTCATCGTCGCCTGTACCCAGGGATGAGTCGAGGCCTCGGATGTCAGGGCGTGTATGACGCTGTGCGAATCCGTGAGGACCAGGATCGGTCGGTCGAAGAGCGTTGTAGCAGCGATGAAGATGGTAGCAGCTTTAGCAGAGAAAACAGAACATTGCGGCGGTAAGCTGCAGCTGGTTGGTGTGATGTTTCCGGCTAGACTGATACTGACCCCGGCCCGAGAGCGAGATCCGTCCGTGTATCGGTGAGTGTGCGTGAGGTATTTTTCTCCTAACATTTCAGCTACAGTCCTTTTCATGGCCACGGAATTGTCTCCGGCTTTTAACCTATCCTTAATCTGGCTTTCGATTTTCGGTAATGGTGTTTGCCAGCATTTGTCTTCATGCCAGTGGACCCTTGCCACTAGGGGGAGATCTTCGTTGGCAGCCGTGCGGAGGAGTCTGTTCGCCTCGTCGAGGAAGAAGATCCCTTGATTTCCGGATGTCTTCGAGATGAAAGCAGCGGCTTTGGTTGCGATAGCTGCGGTTATACGAAAGCGGAAAGGCAGGATACCTGCGTCGAAGCATGCAGCGTCAGTGGGCGTGGATGGCAGCAGGCCAGAGACAATCCGGACGTAGGTGTTGTAGACTGGTGCTAACGTAGCTAAAAGCTTATCCGTTACGAAGCAGGTCATCTCCAACCCGTATAGAAGGCGACTGTCGATAATTGCCGCCACGTGAAAACGGATGCGGCGGTTGTTCGTTCTATTCTGTCGGGAAATGGTCCGGCTGCGGCAATTTTTCTCGACTGCACTGAAATGCTGTTCAAAGTTGAGGAATCGGTCAACGAGAACTCCCAGAGCTCTGACGATCTTCTTCAGCGGTATGGACTGGTCATCGATTTTGATCGGTGGTCTTGGGCTATCATCCTTGTATGTACTGGCGTGGGTCCGGTGGTGACGATGAGGATGTCGTCGGCGTAAACGAACACATATATGTTTTTCGGTAGTTGACGGAAGACTCCGTTCATCGCCACGAGGAACAGGGTAACGGCGATAACCGATCCTTGTGGACACCCGTTTCCTCGGGGAAAAGCCGGGATTTCGTGTTGTCGACTGCGACTCGGAATGAGCGGTTGGACAAGAAGTTCTCAATGAAGTGAACGATGGGTCCGTTAAGACCCCACTCGATTAGTTGCTTAAGCACGAGGGGCGTCAACATTCTGTTGAAGGCCTTCGATATGTCGAGCGCTACTATCTCGGTGAGCAGACCACTGTCGTAGGCGTTCTTGAGAACTTCCCCTAGGGTTGCGAAATAGGTGGACGTTCCGAAACCTTGTCGGAAAGCGTGCTGTCGGTGATTAAGGAAATTTCCAGCTTCGAGGTGTTGCTTCAGTCTTCGATTAACCATACGCTCTAGGACTTTGGCCATACAACATGTTAGCGCTATTGGACGGAACTTGCTGACTTCACAGGTGGCTACCCCGGCTTTCGGAATGGGAACTAATAAGCTTTCCTTCCATACTGCTGGGTACCCGTTAGTGAGCCAGAGCTTGTTGAAGAGGTCTAGCAACCGTAGCCTCTTGAGTAGAGGATATCCGATTACGTCGGGTCCCGCCGACTTCCCGTTGCTGCAGCGAAAGGCATGCTGCAGTTCCTGCCAAGAGAAAGCTTGGTTTATACCGGTATTGGCGGTGTCGAGGGGTACTATGAAGTCTGCGATGGATTCGGTCGATGGCTTGGTTTTCTGCTCGAACTTGTTGTCATTCTTGTCAATAGTTGCGAGCTCGGTGAAGTAGGTACCGAGTTCATCAGCTACCGTTTCCGGATCGGAAACCGTGGAACCATTAATCTGGGTGTGGCCCCGTAACGTGGGTAGATCACCTTTTCGTGGTACGTTACGGAATGTAAGATCTACCACCGATTCATAGTCCTGACTACTTCAAACTAGGGGAACAGGATTTTTCAGTAAATCAAGGAACACATCTTAGTCCTTATTACTTTTTATGCCTTGTTGATAGTGACAAGACTCGGCTTTGTCCACCGAGGATGATCTTGAAACAAGGAAAAATGAGTTAGTTAGTCTTCATCTATGTAACTCCTAATCTTCTATTCATTATTCCCTAGTTTGAAGTGGTTAAGACTAGGGTTCTGATGCATGGTCATTATCGGTGTCATTCCATAATTTTGTTGCTAAGGAATCCAGTTTTGACTGACAAAGGGGCGCGCCTTTGGAGGGTGTTTCAACACTCCGAAGTGTATAAATAGCGGAACCTTTCAATTAGAGTCGGATCCTTTCGATAAATGCGAGAATGACTCTGTAAAAAAAATCGAATACTTCTTCATTTCTCAATAGTGATGGGGTAATACGACATGCACTAAACTAAGGACACGGGATATATTACAATAGATAAAATTACTGGTCGCAGTGGTGTTAGATCCCGAACAGAGGATAAA